GGAGCCTGTTCGTGTACATCATAAACACAAGCTGGACATTGTTTCCATGGCGAATGGTCCAGCTTTATGTCTTACGTAAGATGGGTATAAGGATTCAAGGACTTAAAGTTTCGTGAAATATCTATATGGAATGAACTTGGGATGGTGAGAGTACTTACATTTGTTGTTTGGTTTGCATGTGACTGAGTTTCATTATTATAGGTAGTTGCTTTAGTTGCTCGCCACGTGCTAGAGCCATATGAGTTAGTGTCAATTCATGCATTTTCTGTAATAACTTTTTACTTAGGTCAATTCCTGCATTTTCTGAGATTTTTTCTTATACTTGGCTTTGTATAAATCTTGACAAGCTACTTTTCATACGGGAAGCGCTGCCGAAATTTCTACATATCCAAGAAGTTAGTCAATTTTTGACTTGTCAGAGTTCAACTTGTTTTTTCCATATATCTAGCTTAGTTAAAAGTTGGGAAGTCTCCTTTTCTAAAGGGAGTGCTGCCCAAATTTTTGCTAATTCAGGGAGTTAGACAAAAACTGAACTTTGGGAAGCCAAAGTTACTTTCAAAATTTGAACTTAGCCTTGTATAAATTTTGGAATAACACTTTTCTAAAAGGAGTGCTGCCGAAAGTTCTACAAAATTAAGGAGTTAGTTAAAATCAGTCTAAAGTTGAGCTCGAGCTGTTGTTCGAGTTCATATCTTACTTAGTATAAATCTGCGAAGTCTCCCTATCTAAAGGGAGTGCTGCCCAAATTTCTACTAATTCAGGGAGGTAGAAAGAATTTGACTTTCCAGGAGTTAGAGATTATATCTACTTTCATATCAGACTTAGTATAAATCTAGGAAGTCTCCCTTTCTAAAAGGGGTGCTGCCCAAATTTCTACTGATTCAGAAAGTTGGACAGAATATGACTTTCCGAAACAAGATATTATTTCTGTGTTCATACTTGAGCTTATATAAATTCTGGAAAAACACTTTTCCTTCGGAAAGCATTTCCAAAATTTTCTTAGTTTAGAGGAGATAGGTTATATTTTCACCGGTGACAATTTAGGCGATCCGCCCAGAATAGAGGAGATTCCGTAGTTGGTCTACATTTAGCTTAAGCACTGGCTTAAAAGTAGACTTAAGTTCAACTTATAAGGAGATTTTGAGTAAGGACGTATAATGGAGTTGTATTCTCCATACACTTATGATCTTAGCTTGGGGATCGATCTGTCGTGTGTTACAGGTCTTTTTGATCATTTGATCCAAGTTCAGGGCTAGATCCAGCTTTGATCCCTTGAGGATCACTTTCTGTTATCACTAATTACAGGTCGGTTGCTGATTCGTCGGTCTATGACTCAATTTCAAATCTCCCTCCACACTCAGCCTAAAAGGTTTTAGCCCTGGTAATTTCGTTGTTTTATTAAGGTTTCACCCGGACTTTTATTGAATGGTCATTTAACGAAGGTGCTGAGTATTTAATTAAGGTTGGTTGGACAAGAGGTTTGGGGCTTGCATGGCTAAAGCGAGGGGTATAAGTGTCGAAGGTGGTTGGGGTTGACTCCGTGTAGTGTGTGGGATGTTGATTTGGTTCGTTGATGTGATTGTAGGTATGTGTTGTGAATCAGATTCTGGATTTGGTTGCCTACGATCATATATATACGTATTATTGTGAGAGACCCCAGTGAGACCGTGAAAAGTGATCATCACATACTTAACCCTTATATATGTATACATGGGTATACTTGGGATGAGTGTTTGCATTGGTTGAAGAGCCCCCATACTAAAGTCCTACTCTGAAGCTGAGACTGAGGGGCTTAGGAGAGGCCTCTCCTTCTATTTTTGTTCTTGCTTTTTCATGATTTTCTTCGTCGGACGTTTGGTTCTGCCCCTGGATTTGAGGTCCTTGTCCAGGACACCCCAACCCCTAGGCTCTGCAGGGGAGGGGTTTTCCCTCGCGCAATCCCTTTTTGATTTGCCTACCGAGATACTCAAGCCGAGAGCTGGAGGTGCCGCGGCGGCTGCACGACTATTCCTTCAGCCGTGCAATGTTGTGAAGGGTTAGACCCTCACAACATTTCGAGTCTGACACTTAAGTGTCATAAGCGGTACTCGGATCCATGAGGGACCGCTTGATTATGGGTACTACATAGTACGTCATCATTGCGACTGTTTGCGTACGCCTGCATTGCAAGTCGATATGAGTAGGCCCTGCGTTCGTGCGGTTTTATACTAAGTCTCGCGCGCGACGCTTACCCGATTTTCCGCATTGGAAAGTTATGGGTTGGCTACCGAGGGGCTCGGAGCTTTGTCGCGTTGTTTGTGTTGTATCGTTTCGTATATGTGTTGTTCTGTGTGTAGGTGTGTTTGTAAAATGGAGTGCGCGTGGTGTGTGTAGGATGCGTCCTAATCGACCGACGACGGGTCGCGCTTGGGACCTCAGCCCCCCAAGATGTCAGTTCGCGTGCGGGTCCGATAGCGACGTATTACCGCGCGTACCCCCTATGCTACAGCGAACGAGAAAACGCCCTCGGTTGGTCCACCTCTGCAATTGCAACTGATTAGCTTTCATACTGTGGACTGGTAGCTCGACGGGGATACGCCCACCAAAGGGAGGTGACAGCTCCCGTAAGGTGTAGGTAAGTCGTGCCTCGCGTAGGCCCTATCCTGTCGTCGGGGTTCGCGAGAGGTATGGCTGACGCACTCGGCCGGAGCGGCTTGTGGAAGCTCCATGTATATTGCGACGAAGGGTTTTAAACCAACTCTTGCGTGACGCAGCCGGGAGGGTCCCGCGCTGCCCTGATGCGGTGCCGGACCGATGCGCTCGACAGGTGGCGCCGTTGCCGGGGATAGCGGAAGGCCTGCCGTTGTCCCTGGTGGAACGACATCCGGGTATGAGAAAAGAGTGAGAAAAGGCATGAAGGAATATATGAATGACTAAGTATAGGTGAGGAAATTTACCTACCTTAGTAAAGGAAGTATGAGGGACGATCGTGTTAACATTCGGGTAAAGTAAGTACTAAAGGTTAGGTAGGACGGATGGAATAGACCGGTCAAGATATAATGTTGAATAAGGGAATGTACTTGTTTTTTCTCTTATCAGGAAGCTTGAAAAAAAAAGGCTGTCAAAATGCCTAAAACTGGCGGCGCATCGGGTGCACCCAAGAAGGGCCTGACACTCGATGACCTCATCGCGGCCATCGACCGGCATGAAAGGAATCCGAGCAATATCCCAAAGGTCGATACTGCCCATTTTTGTGGGGAAAGAGTCTCGGAATGGCTGGAGCGGGTAGAACAAGTTTTGGTCGGGCGGTTAGACATTGTAAAGTATTAACGCATTCTTCAGTATGTCCTCAACAACTACCACCAAGAGGTGAAGAAAGTCATAGATACAGCCCAAGGTAGCTGGGAGAGGTTCAAGGAAAGGATGCAGAGGAAATACCGCCTGGGAGACGGGCTGTTGACTACCGCGGACCTTGAGGCGATGAACAAAGAGGATTTTACGACGATAGGGGCTTTTGTTCAAGAATTCAAGAAGAGGGCGCGGAAGGTCCATGAGATTTCGGAGGAAGCACAGTGTGCCATCTTTCTAGGGCTACTCATGGTATCGGATGCCGTCGAGTTGACAAGACATGGAGGGGGTAGCACCAAGCTCACCCGGGCCACTATTGACAGAGGGGTGGAAGTGGGATGTTTGAACCAGGTGGAGCAACGTCAGGTACGCCTGCAAAGGCAGACGAGAAAGGAAAGAGATGTGACTGCTTCTGGGACCCCGGGGGTAACAAGGATTGTTATAGACGTATTGGCACAGCTAGGGTATGCGACAGAGCCGGTGGTGCAAAGGAGGGTGGTGACGATTGTCAAAGTGAAAGGAAAGGAGCCGGTAATAGAGGAGGTTGTTCAGGAAGAGCTCTAAGAAGAGGAAGAGCCGGTGCCGCAGCACCTGACGAAAGTCCAGCGCAAAGTGCGTAATTTGGCGCAGGGCGGTCAGGGATCAGGAAAAGCGCAAGAGCCCCAGGCCTTGACAGCAACCCCTTCAAATGTAGCGGCTCCGTCATCTAGCACGGGCCCCTCGCAAGGTGGGGCGCCCTCCTATGGACAGTGGCCCTGGCCGGTGATCAATGCAATTGTGCCGTGAGGAAGCCCGCCGCCAGTAGCTGGACCGCAAACAAGTATGCCACCACCCATCTACCCCGCAGCCCAGGCCCAGCCTGTGGCCCCGCCGCCGTCACCTGCTCCCAGTTCACAGGGCAGTGTGGCTGGAGGTGGGAACCAAGGGCAGGGCAATCAAGGCAACAGAGGGAGGGGTGGAGGAAGGGGGCGAGGCAGGAATGGCGGCGGAAGAGGAAGGCAATGGAATGGTCAAGGCCAGGGGTACCAAGGCCAAGGGGGTCAAGGCCAAGGGTACCAAGGCCAAGGGAACCAAGGCCAAGGGAATCAAGGCCAGGGGTACCAAGGCCAGGGGTATCAAGGCCAGGGGGATCAGGGAAGTCAGGGGTATGAAAGACCCCGTTTTGACAGGAGGACGGCCATCTGTCAACATTGTGACCAGCAAGGCCACACTATAAGGTTCTGTAATATAAGACGAGAAGACGAGAGGAGCGGGTTGATTTCCTCCACTATGGATGGGAATATCTACGATCAGTTTGAGGAGGCCATTGACAGAAGGCTTGGAGGAGTGAGGGCTGAAGCCCAACGAAGAACGGCAGCTGGGCCGCCACCTCCTGCCATGTTCAGGCTATGGCAGGAAAAGGAGGAACCACCGATTGGGGTGGAGGAAATAGGGAGCGATGAGGAAGTGGCTCAAGGGCTACAAGGAGGGAGTAAGAGGAAAGAGCCCATAATCATTGAGTCAGAAGACGAGAATGAGGAAGAAAGGATGGAGCCTCCGTCCGTCTTATTAGGGAAGATGGAGGACCTGCTGGATAAGATAGGGAGGTACCACTAGAAGTTGGTGGGCCTCCTCAGTGAGGAAGTGAGGGAATGAAAATTTAGCATCCCCAAGGTGTTCCTCTATGACTCCGGTCCGGAATCAGCGCCTGGGCGACCAGGAGTAAATGTGGTGGGGTCGTGCCCACAATCGGGAATGATGGGGAGACCCCTCACTCTGCAGGCCCGGCTGGCGCAAGCGGCACGTACGAGAAGTCAAGCTAAAGCTAGCGCTAGCCAAGAACCTCCGAGGAGGGAGCAGGAGCCAGGAAAAAGAAAGGAGGCCGTGGAAGTGGAAGATGACGATGATGAAGAAGAAGAAGACGAGAAGTTGCGCCGAGAAGAGGATCAGAGAGCGGAACAACGGGCAAGGAAAAAGGGAACCAAGGGAGAAGCCGAACCGGTCATACGTGACGGACCACCCAAAAAGAAGAAATATACGGTTCGGTTGGAAGAGGGATTTGACGTAGAAAGAGTAATTGACAGGCTGCTGGAAGGGCATAATGACCTCATGACCCTGAAGGAGATCCTAGCGTCAGCCCCGCGACTCCGTGATGAACTGAAGGGGAGATTGTCGCGGCGCCTGGTGCCCAATGTCCATCTGGGCACGATCCTGCCGAAGGAGGCAGAGTGGGCGGAGTCAGGTACGAAGATGGACTTGAAGTGCGTAGCCTGCGGCACGGTGGATTTGATGGTGAAGGGTTCCAAGTGTGCAGCAATGGTGGACACCGGGGCGGAGATGAACATTATTCGGGAGACGGACGCGATCAGATTCGGGCTGGATATAGACTGTTCTGACTGCGGTATTCTGCATGGAGCCAGCTGTAAGGCCGTGTTTTGCGGGACAGCCTCGAATGTGATCATCGAGGTTGGAAAGGTGAAGGCCAGGGTATGCTTCTTCATAATGCCGAACGTGGACCATGAAATCCTCCTTGGGAGGTCATTCCTAAGCAGGACGGAGACCGTGATATTCAACAAACATGACGGAACTCTAATCCTTCTCTTATGCGATCCTGCCTGCGGGAATTACGAAATAATTATCTACATGAACACCGGGACAAGGAGTATAAGGAACCGGCCCAATTCAGGATCATTCACGATCGAGGAGTCGGAAGGGGAGCGCCGGAGGCTCCGGGCAGAGCCCGAAGCAGGAGAGAGGGTGGAAGCATTTTCCCTCAGCTTGTCAGATGTTGGGAAGGCCATGGACCTGGTGGCCGCGCATGAGATGGGAGATCTGGATGCCATCCAGGCCTTGAGGGAGCAAGTTCTGGAATGCCCCGAGGCAGGAAGATTAGAGTTGGTATATCGGCTCCCAGGCAGCGGAGGGCACCCCGCATCAGCGCAAACATAATCTGTGAGTCGGCTATTTTTAGGGGACGGCTCAAGCAGGGTTCCCAAAGGCGGTACAAGACGGTAGACAAGAAGTGCCGCCCGGTTCCCGTCCTCGTTACAGAAGACGAGGAAGCATATTACGAGAGGGAACGAGGGTTGATACAGCGAATGAGGGAAAGTGCTTTAGCGGGGTCATGTCATATCAACGAAGGGAACGAGGAGGAGTTGATCATAGGGGAGCCCGACTTCCTGCTGCCTCAGGAGTGAACGTTGATGGTGGAATTAATGAAGAGGAAGCATCGCGCCTACGCATTTAGTGACGAGGAGCGTGGCAGGCTGGATGTGGACAAAAGGGTCAGGGAATTCAGCAGCAGGACGTAGAGGAATCATTGGGTCCACTGCGCACCAATCATTGAAATGTATTTTGTAATTCCTGTTGAGAGAGAGCAAATTCATCATTTGCTTGGGCTCCCTCCCACCCAACCTTCCCCATCTTTCCTCCCTGTTCCACCCCAAGCCAGCCTTTATTAAAATTTTTAATGTGTTCAAGAATTTCTTTTTTCTTTGAGAGGTACTGAATTTTTTCTTTGGTCAATTCCCATTGAATTCTGATATCTGTTTGTATCTGTTCCTTGATGCTTTCCGTGAATTCCTGCCCATCAAGTCTGACTGTTTCCCATTCATGTGTGCATCTTCTTCTCCAAATAGCCCAGAGAATTGCTCTTCTACTGATGATAAACAACTTTTGTGTGAATTCGTCATCAGATATGACAATCGGTTCCTCTAGCAACAAAGGTTTCCAAACCCATGGCCACTTGTCAGTCACTTCCAATTGCGTCCATATTCTGTCCCACCATCTCCATAGCCATACTGAGCCAGGATCTAGCTTTCATACAAACAAAAGAATCAAAGATCATGGAACAGTTCCTTGCCCAATCTGCCCCTGAGATCACACAAGACTCGATCGCCTAGAACCAATCAATCAGATTTGCTGATTCAAAAAGACAAAGACAAGGAGCGGGGACAAACGATTTACATGACATTGTCTGATTCTGAAGAAAGGTAGCAAGGAGAGCAACAAAAAGGAAATTCGAGATGCTGCTCGAACCAAAGGGACAAGGGTGAGTTGCGCCGTATATCAAAATTGTTTCACAGGTAAGTAACGGGCCGGAGATGAAGGCCCTGTTTTCAAATTTGTTTTGGAGCGCAACTAGTTCGGCCTTCGCTTTGGCCAATTCCAACAAGTCCCCTTCCTTGGCGTGGTCTTCCCCTTCTAAGAAGCTAGCGGCAAACTTCTTCTCCATTTTTTCCATGGCGTTCATGATCTGTTGCATGGTGTGATTGATGGGGGAAAACTCTATGTGTCCGAAAAGGGATTCAAATTTCCCGTTGAACGGACCAACGGCCGTTCAAACCCCGATCTAACGCCGTGTTTACCCGCGTTACAACGAGGAACAACGCAGTGTGACACCCAACCTCACGCCCAGCGCGACTTCCTGATCGGAGTGGGATGTGGGCCTGAAAGTGCGAAAAGGGGTGTGCCAAGGATTTTTGGGAAAGTGGGGGTGGAGTCCTAGGTCAGAACTGAGATCTCCTATGGCAAGGTTCTAGGGGCACGGGTGCAAAATGGTTGCGGGCAAGTTCCTTCCGGTCTGTTGGCGTTTATGTCGTGCAGCATGAGGTAGATGGCATGCGTGGTGCTTCCAAGGCCGTCTGCTTCGTCTGTTTTGGGGGCGGCGGCTCAAGGCGAGATCTGCCCGGAATGGCAGTGATTCCGATGAGTCGGGCCTTTGGGGGCAGCCACGTGGCGTCTGTCGTCACGTGTTTGGGTTAGGCCCTCTGGTTTCCGGGGCTCGTCGATTGCCGCGACGCCGATAATTTCCGCAAGGTGTGCAAGGCCAATACTCCACGATGGAGTTCCACGGTACCACCGTAAATTGGTGGTACGGGAGGAAAAGACCAAAAGGAGAGAAATTAGTAACGATAACAACGATGCCGGGGGATATGAAGTAGTGAGAGTTGTCTGAAGTGGGAAAATCGGGAGACCTCGGGTCGCGGGTCGTAGCGCAGTGAAACTCCCTAGGGCACAAACGATTCTCGGTTAGGCAGGGGAATTCCGGGTGTCTTCGTCTGAGACACTCATTCACCCAAGGGTTAAAATACTCTGGATCCCACGACGAGTCTGAGTCCCTCGAGTTCGTCATCTTGTCATTGTGAAGCCGAAAAATTCCTTAGCGCGTGGTTGCCTGGCTGGGGAATTTCTGAGCTCGGCGTTCAGAAATTTCGTGTCTGTCCCGATATTCGACGATTGCGATCACCGCGTGTGAGTACGTGTAGACTGCGCGAACTGGATCGCACTTACACGTGTTCACAGGGGATGATCGCTTCGTTGCAGACGCAGAATGGCCACCGAACACATCCAATCAGTCTATATCCCCGCAATCGTTAGCCTTTTCATGCGTGGGTGGTTACGAATCGACGTGCATGGACACGTGTAAGTGCGCAGATCACATATCGCTCACACGCATCCCCGCGAGGTACTCGCTTGTTTCTGGGCAAACAGCTACCCAATCATCTGATCACTCCATGATCCGCACACAATCATTCCTGAATATCCAAGGTGCTACTACACATTCGCAGCAGCAACAGTAGATAAAAAAAAAAACCATCAGCAATAGTGAGGATTATGGGAATTTTCCTACTATGCCCAAGAGTGTATCAAAACGACAAACAAACGACAAGCAAGGGCAAGGATTAGGCAGAAAGAAAGCAACAGACATGACATTCATTCATTCATCCAAAAAAAGACATCAAGTTCAAATGCAAAACAAGTGTGGGTGGAAAATCGAGCCAAGATTCTGACAAACGAAAACGGGCGAATCGCCCTGAGCCGAGATCAAAATTTATATACAAAAGCAGAGAGGGAGAAAAGATAAAGAAAACTGCAACTCCACGTCCATCAACATCAGCTCCTTCTTTGTCTCTCTCCCTCTCCAATGCGGACATTCCGTCGTCGCGCACCAACTCACGAAGTCGTCACCCCGCTTAGTCCTCCCGCACCCGTCAGGTTCGCCCGCGCCCACAGTCCGTCGTGGCCTGCGTCACCCCGCGCGTTTGGCACCAGCTCGTCGGGTTGCCCGACTCCCACTTCAACTCACCTCTTACTTCGCTCGTGAGCCGACCCTCACTGATCGCGCTACCCCGAGCTTCCAATAGCTGGTTAAGAGAGCTATCTAATCGCGCAGCCGGGATTTATAGCGTGCATGCATGCGTGAAGAACACGGAATTACAAGGACTTAGAAGGAAGATCAGGAGAGGGAGCGCCCACGTTCTGCATAGTCAGCACACGGCGTGGGGGACGTAGCCTTTCTCCACGCATCGATCCGAGCATGCAGTCCGCGGGCTGGCTAGACAAAGCAAGAGGAAGCGAGAGCGGGAAAAACCGAAGCACAAGAAGAAAGGATACAGTTACAATGGCGCTGTCGGCGCGAATACCCTTGCAAGGGTATCCGCCCAGGTTTCTGCAAGTGACAGAAAATAGTTTTGGTTTAAAGTTAAAGTATATCGCACTAGGCGCGGCTGCGTCTGTGACTTATGTTGACTGGATGGTTGACTATAATAGAGAGTGCGTGAGCGCGCAGGTTTGAGGCGCGCGTGATTCTTTTCTGTTGTTGATCATAAAGTCGGCGCGGACGTTGGTCGTTTTGTTTAATGATATTATTAATACCTATTTATTTTTTATTAAGCAGGAGCTAGGGATATTTCCCTTTGATTCGTGCGTTGGCCGAGGCGAGCGCGTAAGCGAGAACGACAGCAACGACGACGACAGTGTGACTGTGGTAGGTCTCAGCACGCGGAGGGGCGCGAGTGGCGGATGTGGTACAACTTTGGTAAGTCGGCGCAGACGTTGGGCGGCCTCGCGCATGGTTGTAGGCAGGGGTGAGGCTTAGGCCTATTCCCCTGGCCCTGAGCGCAGCGCCGCACCGCCATATATGGCCCTCCGCGGAAATTTGTCTCAGGCTTGGGCTTAGCCCTATAGGTTACGACATAGGGTTGGTGATACGGAGGTTCGAGGATCGAGGCTGAGTGGCGACGGTGCAGGAATTTCAGAGTAACGCGAAGGAACCAAGTGGTCGAGGGCCTGGCAAGGCTATCCCCCTTGGTTTTGCCGTCAGCAACGCCGGATTGGTGGTGACAATTTCTGAATAATTCATTTTGGCGTCGTATGTCCATTACTTTTCTCTTATCAATATACTCCGACGTGCCGTTGACTTGGACGCGACGCCGGACTTAGTGGTCGTCATGACAGTCAAGGGCCTTGAGTGCGGGCCTCGTTTGGTAGGTCCGCGGGCCGCGCCATTGCTAAGAAAGTGCGGGGCGGTCAAGGCTTGAGTCCGTAAAATGCGCTTGAGACGAAGAAGGTGGTAATGCCGAATGTGTGGCCGTATGGGGGTGTGTTGTATTCGCAGGGTGGCATGAGTAAGGGCCGCAAGGTGTTTTCGGGACAGCACCGGAGTGCCCCGATTATAGGATTTCAGGGACTTCCGCGGCAGTCTTATTCCTGTTCGAGCCTCCGGCGAGGGGCGAGTCGGTGGCATCGGGGCCGGGTCTCTTTGATAAACCAGTCGNGGAGGGGCGCGAGTGGCGGATGTGGTACAACTTTGGTAAGTCGGCGCAGACGTTGGGCGGCCTCGCGCATGGTTGTAGGCAGGGGTGAGGCTTAGGCCTATTCCCCTGGCCCTGAGCGCAGCGCAGCGCCGCACCGCCATATATGACCCTCCGCGAAAATTTGTCTCAAGCTTGGGCTTAGCCCTATAGGTTATGACATTGGGTTGGTGATACGGAGGTTCGGGGATCGAGGCCGATAAGCGACGGTGCAGGAATTTCAGAGTAACGCAAAAGAACCGAGGGGTCGAGGGCCTGACAAGGCTATCCCCCTTGGTTTTGCCGTCAGCAACGCCGGATTGGTGGTGGCAATTTCTGAATAATTCATTTTGGCGTCGTATGTCCATTACTTTTCTCTTATAAATATACTCCGGCGTGCCGTTGACTTGGACGTGACGCCGGACTTAGTGGTCGTCAT